TCAAAGAGGTGAAGTACCCCACGTGGTTGGCGAATGTCGTCCTCGCACCGAAACCGCCCACGTTCAGAATGTGCGTCGATTACACCGACCTGAACAAGGCATGTCCAATGGACCCATTCCCTCTCCCCAACATTGATCAGTTGGTGGACGAGACGGCAGGGTGCGAGTTGATGTCGTTCCTTGACGCGTTCAGAGGGTACCACCAGATATCCATGCATGAAGATGACGCGAAGAAGACTGCTTTTATGACCCCGGAGGGAATCTTTTGCTACCTCGTCATGGCCTTTGGGCTCAAGAATTTCGGCGCCACTTATACAAGAATGGTAGCCCGGATTTTTAGAGCAGTCTTAGGTCGGACGATGGAAGCATACGTCGATGACATGATCGTCAAGAGCAAACAATCCACAACTCATGCCGACGACCTCCGGGGCATCTTTGAGATCATGAAGAAATACAACCTCCGGCTCAACCCGAAGAAGTGCACCTTCGGCGTCCAGGGAGGTAAATTCCTGGGGTACCTGGTCAGCCGAAGGGGCATTGAAGTGAACCCGGAAAAGATACAAGCCATTATCAACATGGAGCCGCCCCGCAACATAAAGGAGGTACAACGACTGACGGGACGCCTCGCGGCCTTGAACCATTTTCTCTCAAAATCCGCGGAAAAGTCGCTCCCCTTCTTCCAAATAATGAGGAAGGCTGTCAGCTTCAAATGGACAACGGAGTGCCAGCAAGCCTTTGACGAACTGAAGCAATATCTCGCCTCCCCACCCGTCCTATCCAAGCCCCAACCCGGCGAGACTCTCTTCCTTTACTTAGGAGTGAGCACGTCGGCCGTCAGCTCTGTACTCATCAGGGAGGATGACGGGGTACAAAAGGCAATATTCTACGTCAATAAGACGCTACGGGAGGCCGAGCTCAGGTACTCCCCCATTGAGAAGACGGTACTGGCCATCGTCCACACGGTGAAGAAGCTGGGACACTATTTCCAAGCTCATCCCGTCCATGTCCTCACGCATCAGCCGTTGGGCGCCCTGATGAGAAGCCCAACCAGCTCTCTAAGGATGATCAAATGGGCAATATTCTTGAGCCAGTACCAGATCGAAATCAAGCCAAGGCCATCCATCAAGGGGCAAGCCTTAGCTGACTTCATCACCGAATGCACGGCAAGGGAGACGACCGTAACCACCACAGGAGCTGAACCAGACGAAGCCTGGACCCTCTACACAGATGGGTCCTCGACCACCAAAGCTTGTGGAGGCGGCGTCGTCCTCATCTCCCCAGAAGGATTCAGAGCATATTACGCCATCCGCTTCAACTTCAAGGTGTCCAACAATGAGGCCGAGTATGAAGCGCTCCTCAGCGGGCTCAGACTAGCCGCTGGCCTCAAAGCACGCCACATCAGAATCAAATGCGACTCCAAACTTGTAGTGAACCAGATGGAGGGTTCCTACGAGGCAAAAGAAGGGAGAATGAAGCAGTACAAAGAGACTGCTGGGGAATTGCTCAAGGCATTCGACACCTACGAGATCACTCAGATCCCAAGGACGGAGAACGCCGAGGCTGACATACTCTCCAAACTCAGCTCCGACACCCCTGAGCACATCTCCAAGATAGCTAAAGTGGAGGAGTTGAGCATGTCAAGCATTCACGCCAGCCCCATACTCTCCATACAACACCAGCCGGAGGACTGGATCACTGACATCGCAACCTACATCACCTCCGGCACGCTACCAGAAGACGAGGAGAGGGCCAAACTATCCAAGCTCAGGGCTCCTAGCTATGTCATTGAGGGTGACAAACTTTACAAGAGATCATACAACGGCACCCTCCTCCGGTGCCTCCACCAGAATGAGGCCGAAGTGGCCATGGAAGAAGTCCACTGCGGCGTATGCTCATCACATCAGGGGCCCTTCAGCATGTCACGGCGCCTCGTCGTCCAAGGCTACTTTTGGCCAACGATGGCACGCGATTGTGCTGAAGTCGCCCGCAAATGCAGCGCATGCCAACATTATCAAAGGGCACCTGGCCGACCGGCCGTCAACTACGCCCCGGTCAGCACCGCCATCCCATTTTCCAGATGGGGCATCGACCTCGTCGGCCCACTACCAAGAGCTGCAGGCAACAACAGATACATCATCGTCGCCGTCGATTACTTCACCAAGTGGGTCGAGGCCGAACCTCTCGCAAGCATCACCGGAGCACGGTGTCGAAAGTTCGTCTACAAGAACATCCTCACCCGCTTCGGCGTGCCCCAGGAGATCATATTAGACAACGGCACCCAATTTGAAGCCGAGCCGTTCCAAAGCCTCCTCCAAGAATGGGGCATCAAACACCGTTTCTCCTCCGTCGCCTACCCCCAGGCCAACGGGCAAGTTGAGAACGCCAACAGAACCATCTTGGAGGGGCTGAAGAAGAAGCTGGAGGAAGAAGGCGGAAGTTGGGTCGACAAGCTCCCCAACGTTCTATGGTCCTACCGCACCACGCCGAGGAGGGCCACCGGGGAGACACCATTCTCCCTTTGTTATGGTTTCGAAGCCAAGGCCCCCACTGAGGTCACCCTCCCCAGCCGACGGGTCACACAATACGACCCCGAAGCCAATGAAGAAGCCATGAAGATCGACTTGCACCTCATTGACGAAAGGCGGGAGATGGCTTACCTTTGGGCAGAGAACTACAGACGCCAAGTCAAATCTTACTATGACGCCAAGGTACGCTCCCGCGAATTCCAAGTGGGGGACTACGTCCTCCGCCGAAGGGAAGCAAGCAAACCAACGGAAGGAGGAAAGCTCGCCGTCAAATTTGAAGGGCCCTACATCATTAGCGCCGTCATCAGAGCCGGCACCTATAGACTAAAGAACCCTAATGGGTCAGATGTACCACGATTGTGGAATGTACACCACCTGGTGAAATTTTACCAATGACTCGAGAAGTGGTGAAGTGGGCAACGTCCCCCACCCCTCGGCTTATTGGTTGAATACAACACCCTCGGCCTAGCGCCACTTATTGAATAAAATTCATGTTTCATCCAATCTTTTAAGATTTGAGCAAAGGGAAACCCTAAGCGGTGCAAACACCCGAGACCGATGCGACCTAAAGCCGTTGCAATAAACAACGCACCTAAAGCCGTCGCAATAAACGACGCACCCAAAGCCGTTGCAATAAACAACGCACCCAAAGCCATTGCGATGAACAACGCACCCAAAGCCGTTGCGATGAACAACGCACCTAAAGTCGTCGTAATAAACGACGTACCCAAAGCCGTTGCAATAAACAACGCACCTAAGGCCGTTGTGACCCACAACGCGCCTACAAAGCCGTTGCATAGACAACGCACCTAAATATCGTATCGGCACAAGCGGTGAAACACCCAAATCGGTCGGCGATATGTAGGACGAAGGACCTGTGTGCATGGTCCAACGTCTTCAAACGGAGAAGCATACCGCGTCGTCCGCGCGGAAACCGCAGGACGACAAGCCTGAATTAAGGCCGAGGTTACAAAAACTCCACCCGTCAGTAAAATTTCGCTCAGGACCACAAAGGGCGGCCGTTTAAAGACGATGCCTAGTCCGGTCCCTCGTCGACGATAGACGTGGAAAGGCCAAAAAAGATGCCACTGACACACCAAGCCGAGGGCGTATTTACTCCCTCGCACTAATCCACGCGAAAAGCGTAGCGCACAAACTACCACACATGGACGAAGGGACAGTAACCCTTCGGCTACCAAAAAAACAGAAAGAAAGAAAAGGGGGAAGCCGACGGACCGCGCACTCGCCGGCCTCGAGCATAAAATAATATCCCCACAAGAAACCAATCCTCAAAGTTGGCCAAGTACATATCAGGATCACCATGCAGGAATACGAAGCACACGCTTCGGCCTCGACCACAACATCCTAAAGTTGAAACGCATCGGCATCAACTATACAAAACCACATTCCATCACTTGGAAGGTGAGACGCATCGTCTCCAATTAGCAAAACCCAAGTGATAAACCAAGGGAAAACACCTATATCAAGGAAGCTTGACACTTAGGCAAATTTTCAAATCACATTACTACAAAGACAATGAGGCGCTATCAATGGGCATCGCTTCGTCCTCAACGTTCCGAGACAACTCCCAATGCTTGAGAAACTCGGAAAAGTGCTCGGAACAGAAACGGAATTCGCCAAGGGACGATGAGGCGCATCGTCCCTGAGGACCGCAAAGCACATAAAGATCGCTACGTCGCAATTAAGAGACGCCAACATCCTCAAAACACAACCTTGACACAAAGACGAAGAAAGAATCATGATGAGGAAGAGATTTGTCATTAATTGGTGCAAAGATACAAAAGGTGGGCGCTTCGGCCATTACACGCACTTCAGTGCTATAGTTACAAAAGCTAAAAATACAAGATAACACTAAGCTACCACATCAGCCGGCACCCCACCAGCAACAACATCGTCCCCGTTGCCGCTGCCGGCATCGTCATCACCGCCACCATCCTCATCGGCCTGGGAATCGGCAGGCCCCTCGAGCAAGTAATCGTCACTATCACTCCACGGCTCCTCCCCTTCAGACGAGCTTAGGATCGGGGGCTGCCTCTCCGATAGGGGAAGCTTCAAGTCCTCATCTGGATTCCTCATTCGCCGAGGGAGACTCAGACCCCTCGGCCTCATCTTCCGGAAGCGACGACGCAACTTCCTATAGATGAGCTTCTGCATCCTATACTGGCCGCAGTCGTAGAAAGCTTGCATCTCGTTCATCCAAAAAGCTTCGCCGGCGGCATTCTTCGTCGTCCAGTCATTCAACCTCTCAGCAACCACCTCATAGCAGAAGGGGAGCTGATCATCGGTTTTCCACCCCTCGGCCTTCAAGTCAGCTACGGCCTTCTCGGCGGCCTTCTCAGCATCAGCTTGGAGCCGCTCCGCCTCCTCGGCTCTCTTCAGGGCAACATCAGCAGCCTCTGCGGCTTCCTTCCGAGCCGCCTCGGCCTCATCAAGCCGGAGCTGTAGGAGCCTCATCTCATCCTCCGCAGCCTTGGCCTTGTCCTTGAGATCTTGGAGGGCCTCATCGGCTGAAGCAGCCTTAGCCTCCACTTTCTTGAGCCGCTCAATCTCGGCCTCCTGTCTCCAGTGCTGCTCCCGCAGCATCAGGGCACCCTGGACGAAGCGGAATTTGAAATCAGAGGAGATAAACAAAAGCAAAGGAAAAATCACAAACGAAAATATCTTACCTGAACGACACAGTCCATCCCTCCGTCGTACAGCCGAACATGCTGGCCTTGTCGGCCGAGATATTGACGGTCATACTCAGGCATAGCCTGAGCAAGCATATCATCACCACCAACGGTCTCGTTGAAAAGACCGCCTCTGACAGGGTATCGTACGGTGACCTCATACGACCCCTTAGCAAGAGCCTCCTCTAGACGGGCAGCAGCGGCAGTAGAGGGAGCCACTCGAGAAGCCGAGGCCACAACGGCCGATGAAGGTGGATCATTCACGGGAGGGACCACCGTCGCCTGAACATCCACAACAGCCTGAGAGGAGGGAGCGCCGGCCTCGCCATTCGTGGGAGCCCTCATCGTCTTCTTCGAAGCCTGGCTCGGTTTCAGCCCCGCTTCGGCCAGAGTCTTTTGGCCCTCATCAGCAGCCCTCCTGCTCTTCTTAGCTACGGGCTTCTTAACGGCCTCAGCAACCCCTTGAGAACCACCCGTAAATTTCTTTGCTGCCTCAGCAGCTTGAGCGGCTTTGAGCTCCGCATCGGCCTTCTTGGCGGCTCGAGCCATAAAAGACATGCGGTCCATGGCAAAACCTGCACGAAACAAAGGAACATCAGTAAGGCAATAACTAAACACACTACGAGAAGGGTAAGTAGACGAAGGACAACCTTCGGCTTCGGCAGGGACACCGAGTGAGGGACCGTCGGCTTGCTCATAAGACCCCTCCATCTTCGGCCAGAGGTCATCGTCCATATCGCCGGGGCAGTAGTATCTCACGAAGCCGAGGGCGGCCATCCTAAACTCAGTAATGTAAGTTGTTACGCTCCTCGGACCGCCCTTGATGAAAGCCTCCACCTGCCTACTGATCTCGGCATTCCACGGAGGATTATGCAACTCAAACAAGCCGCTATGACCCACAGACGGGAAGTAACCGCCTTGGCCAAGGTTAACGAAAACAAACTTCGCCTTCCAACCGTGGATTGACGAAGGAAGGTGTGTGAACGTCCTCCTCTTGGGGACCTGCTGTAAGGCAGCATAACCGGCGCAATTCTGATGGCTCCCTCGGCCTATCCGGTACAGATTGGTGAAAAGCGCAGTTGTCGGCGAGAACCCCAACTCACCGCAACGGATAAGAAAGCCGACGATAAGCGAGTAGCTGTTGGGCGTCAGCAAGGCCGGAGGTAGACTCACCATGTCAAGGTATTCCTTAATGAAAGGATGGAGAGGGAACCGCAAACCCTTCGCGAAGCTCATCGGATATATCCCAAAATAACCCAAAGGGGGGCTCAGCACGTGATCCGTCGGCTTCGGCGCCCGCACCCGTCCATACGGCCCCACATACAACTGAGCTACGTGGTACTCGCCAAGGGTCCCTTCCAGCCAAATGATGTACAAATTGCTGAGGTCAAGCTGCGAGTGCCCCTGCGGTGCCCCGTTGCGCTGCTTCCGCCGATACGGTTTCTTCGTCTTGGGAGCTGAGGGGCCTTCCCCCGCTACGGACGATATCGGCGGAGGGCAAGGAATGTTAGCAGAAGAGGACGCCTCATCCCCTCTCAGAGGCGAGCTAGATATCGCCTCGTCTTCACCAGAATGATTTGCTCCCGCATCGGCACTCATTCTCTCCTCATCTACGGAAGTGCGATAGTCGGCTGTATTTTCCATTTCGATCTCGAAGGCCTCAATTAACCGCAGATCAACTCCAGGGGACGTATCGTCCTCCTCAAAGGGCCAATCCGACTCGTCCAAAGAAGCTGTCAAATCAATGGGGGAGGGAACGCTACGGCCGTTAGAGAACGGCATATCACCTACACCTATTCCTAAGGGCGGTTTTTCGGATCAAAGTGGTTTCCCTACAAACACTAGATCTAACCCCCTAGGAAGCAAAGTATAAGGAAAAAACGAAGAACAAAGAAGAATCTAACCTTTGAAGATTTGGAGATCTGGAAAAGATTGATGAAGACTTGAAGGAACACTCCGGAGGTTTCTCTCTCTAGAAAGTTCGACAGCACTTCGTTGCTCAGCAAGGTTGCAAATGAGGTATCGCCTCGGGGTTTAGGGGTATTTATAAACACCCCTCCAACGGTCACTACACGTGGCAAACTCCAATTGGTCACCTCAACGGCACCTCTCCTAAAGCCAATCAGCGCTTGTCTTTTCACCTTCCACTCTAAGGCCACCACTACGGCCCCAACAGGCCCCGAAACTAGGGGTAGGCACCGGCCTACTCACTCAAACGCAAAAAGAAACTCGCTACGGCCCAATTTACCAAAGAAATGGCTGCATCAGCAAAGATACGCTACGGCCCCAAAGCAACCCCAAAGTACCGCTACGACTATTCACGCGCACATCGTTGATGATGGCCCTGGTATCGCGACCTTCGTCCAAGGGTTCTCCCACAGGGTTACCTTGGACAGGTTCGCCTAAGGGTTGGACTCACGATTAAACGCATGGAGTACCGTATCGGCACAGAAACATCATGACTCCCTTGTGCCTCAAATACTCTTCGGCCAAAGGAGTGGGGGACTGGCGGACTGTATCGGCTACAGAACCTAGAAGTTTAAAAGCCCACAGGCACAAAGGCCAGCACGCAACGGCTACACACACTGGGGGACTGCGTCGGCTCACCAAGGCGAGAACACCGCAAGTCAAAAATGCTCCGGCCACATGACAAGATCAAAGGCATGCATCGCATCGTCCTCATGGACAAAATCAGTCATCTCCACTCCGTAAAAACAAGGACCATCACTACGGCCAAAAAATAAATAGGACCTCTTCGGCCCCAACAAAATGGTAATAAAACAGGCCAGTTTCTCCATAATTCACATCTACTGGAAAGAGAAAGCGCGCCGCATCATCCTCAAAACACTTCTCACAAAGAGCGCATCGGCACGCACCAAGGTTATGAATCCTCAAGCGCGCTCCGTCTACATCAAATGAGGAAACCGCTTCATCCAAAATCAAAGCGGAACCTCTTCGGCCACCAAGCACCTCGAGCTCACGCAACGGCCAGCCAGAAAGGAACAAGTACTCCCTTTCGCTTCAGGCTTCACCTCAGCTCAGAGAGTGGGGGACTCCTGATAGAGTATATGGGCCTGGACCCCATGGCCCACATACTCAAGTCAACGATGGCCAGAAGAACACCCACGTGGCCCCCTTAGGCCAGTGGGTCCGCATCGGCCAGAAACCAAACCGGCCCAGGAAGCACGCATGGACTCCTGGGACCGCATCGGCCATGGACCGCATCGGCCATGGGACCGCATCGGCCAAAAGGCACCGCATCGGCCCGGCTTCGTTCGGGCAGAATGCATCTCTCTACTTTATTTACTAAGTATTGTACACAGCCCATTAGTGGCCCTATTTCGCCCAAAAGAAGGCATGCTTATTGTAAATGGGCCTCCTAAGCCCATGGCTAGGAGCCTAAATCCACATTTTTACCTATAAATAGACCCCTTGGGGCTAGTTATAGGGGGTTGAGAAATATAATTACTCACTTTCTCTCTCTAGCTCTCTCACTTCTCTCTAGAATTAATACTCTATCAAAAATATTTGAAAACTACATAGTACATACTCTTTAAATTCTCTATTCTCTTTTATTTCTTATCCAGATTTTATTTATATTCATTTTTTATTCATTATAATAGAGATAGAGATTTCAAAGTAATTTTAGTAATACTACATTAAATATTAATACAAATTATGTAGAATATTGAATATTTAATACAGATATTTCTATTATATTTTATGAAAAAGATTAAATTAAATCAATCATAGAAAAAGATTAAACAAATATAATATTAATAATTTGTGTACATACTTTTGCTTTGATATATTCCAAATTTTTAAAAACCAACAAAAAAGTTAACACCATTAGCATTCAGACTGTTTTTTTGTAGGGATTATTGGTGTGCACTTTTCAATTAGGGATTACTTTTATAAAATGCGTGTAAGTATGGATTATTTGATGTCAATTTTGCCATTGATTTTTTTTTGTACCTGAATTTCCCAATCAAACACAAGTTGAATACAGTGTATAAGTGGCAACCTTATCAAACATACTCATTGCGTGGTAAACTTATTTCATTATTCGAAATACAAATAACTTTGTTGCAATCCAGTTTCATCCATAAATCAAATTGTTCACCAGTTTATATGCATTTACTTAGTTAATTCAAATTTTATTGTAATTAAGCACCGTTAACATCCATGAACGTTTCTTAATTAAAGTTGTACTTTTATTATTATTTATCATTTTAAATTTTTTGTTGCGAATAATTGTGATCTGAAAAGTCAATTATTTGATGTAAGAGTAAATAATTTTTTAGTTTAATCTTGTTGTTGTTACTTCGGCTTATTTTTGAAATAAAATAACCGAAAAATGAAAAAAAATGACAATGAAATCCTAATTTTGGCACTTGAATCTATTTAGGGAGAACTACCAAATAGGCCCTCGAACTTACATAAAAAGTGCAAATCACCTCTTATATAGGAGGCTATGTCCGGCCATCGCCATTGCGTGAATTATGTGGTTCTAATACTTTGATGGGTAGATTTTTCATCAACGATGTGCATGCCATATTATAAATTTATGTGTGCAAGACGGTATAAAAGTGTTAGGAGATGCTATGGAGGTAGTCAAGGAGGGGATTAGACGTATTTGGGGCAATGATCAACTTAAATTAAAATGGAAAAATTATTTGATTGAAAGAGGTGTGAAATATGTAGCTTTCCCTAAAGATTTGTCTATTCGGTGGAATAATACTTATAAATTAATTAAAGTTCTTCTTAGATATAAAGAACATTTTCCTGCTTTTTTAAGACAATATGATAACTATATTTTAAACCCCGCTCACATCGACACTTGCGAAAAAATTTGTAATGTTTTGATATATTTTAATAATGCAACTGAAAGTTTTAGTCATATTTATAAACCTACCTCAAACGAATTTATTCGTGAAGTTGTTAATCTCGCCGGTGCTTTTAATGAATTTGAGAATGTCGCTTACGTGAGTTATTTTTGTGGTTTTACGAAGGAAAAGTTTTTAAAATATTATGCACATATTCCGCATATTTATAGTATTGCATTTATTCTCGATCCTCATTATAGACTTGGTAATTTGGAAGAATGTTTGAAGTTCTATTATAATGCTTTTTTTGGTCCATTTCCAATGTATGATG